TTCCAGATCGGCATGTTTGACCCGGAGCAACACCCCAACCACCTGGGCGCGGGAGGCGGCTTTGGCCCTGTAAGTGCCTTTGACGGGGGGCAGTGGGGGCACTGGCTCAGGGCCTCAGTGGCACGTGCAGGAGAGCCAGGCAGCGCCCTGGCCTGCTGGTGAGGGCCAGACCCGCAAGGAAGGACAGAGCCCTGGGGGTCCACGCTAGTCTCCACCTGAGCGCCCTGAGCGCGGGACACGGGGGCGTCTGGGGAGGGATCCCGCCCGTGGAACCTCGCAGGCAGAGCCCGGGTGACCCGGGGCCCCCTCGCCCGCCTTCAGATCGTAGATGACGGCTACGGGGTCTCTTATATGATTGCCGGCGAGAACACCATCTTCTTCCACGTCTCCAGCAAGTTCTCAAGCTCAGAGACGGTGAGTTTCTCCTGCCTGTCGGGGAAGCCCTGGCCTGGGAGTGGGCTGGGCGTCTGCAGGGCAGTCTGAGCTCTTGTTCCCACAGAATGCCCAGCGCTTTGGGAACCACATCCACCAGGCCCTGCTGGACATCGCCAGTCTGTTCCAGGCTCCCAAGGCCGACAGCTGAGGGCTGGGCGGTGCCAGCGGCCCTCTCACCCCAGACAAGGCGCGGGCCAGGGTCCCTTGCACACACGCTGGCCTGCACAGGCCCGGCCTGAGGGCAGCTGTGCGCAGGCTCCTGGGCTGGACCTGCTGGCCGAGGCCCGCGGGGCAGAAGGGGCTGGAGCGGGGAGGGAGGCTGGATTTTCTGTTCTTGCTGGATACTATTAAAAATAAGACTATGGGATTCTCTCAGCCCAAAGAACTGTGTTGCCTGGGAGCGAGGGAGCCCTGGCCCAGCGCAGCCAGAGGGGGTGGGCGGGCCGGAGCGGGACAGGGCCGCCGCTGCCCGGTGCCCTCCGCGTGGCCCGTGGGCCACAGTCCTGCTCAGACCCTCCTGGCCCCGGCCCGTCCACAGAGAGTGGGCTGCTCCGTGCCGGCTTGCCCTCTGCTCTCCTGCGGACGGCACAGACCACCGCCGGGCTGAGGGGCGCCGGGCGGCGTGCCTCTTCTCTTAGTGACCTTTCCATTAAGACAACATGAAGAGCAAACAGAAGTGCTTTTCGGGACAGGTTCCCTCGCTGGAAGCATCCAGAGCTCGGCCCTTGGCTGGGGCTGGGTGGGTCCAGATGCAGCAGGGCAGCCAGAGCCTGTCTGGGGGCGAGGAGGGGCGCCCCCCCCAAGGCTCTTCAGGCACCAGGGAGCTCTGGGAGCCTCAGCCAAGAGCTGTGAGGAAGGGGGACCAGGAAATTACAGGGCAGGCCAGACGGGACGGGGCAGGAGTGGCGCCTTGGGAGGGCAGCAGAGGCAAGGGGCCATGACAGGCCTGAGGGCCAGGATTCCTGGGCAGCGCTCCCCCCGTCTGCAGCAGGGGAGCCGCCACCAGGTGAGTCGGAGTCAGCCCACGCCGGCCTCCGTGTAGACGGGGAGCGCAAACAGCCCCCAGCGGGGTCGGAGAAGGACAGGCAGAGCCGGCAACCAGACGGGGAGGGAGCTCACACTTTGGATGTGGGGTGATGAGACGAGGCCCAAGCGTGCCCGCCCCAAGAGACGTCGGCGCCAGGAGAGCGAGAGCCCGGGCGGCTGGGAGGCGCCACCCCGTGTGCACCCAGCAGCCCCCGCGGCCAGCCGAGCCCTCCTGGGCCGCCTGCTGTCCAGCGCCCTGAGACCCGCCCCGGAAGGCCCCGGCGGCCAGCCTGCGGCCCAGGGAGGTGACCCCAACGTGACTGTCATCAAGAACGCTCCCACCTGATCTCACCTCATTAGGACACAAACGAGAACCGCAGCCCTCAGTCAGGCACAGCCCTGTGACCGGCCGTCAGGCCCAGGGCCTCCCTGTACCCCGCACGTCCACCCACCCACCTGCAGGCTGGCGGCCATAACAGCTGAACCCCACTAGTTGAGCCTGTGCTCATCAAGCACTCGGCCGCAGGGCCACTCTGGGGGCGCAGGGGTCACCCTCATCACCAACACTGTCACCGGCCACTGTTGCCTGTGGCTGACCCCTGGCCAGGGGGTGGCCCCCAGGATGCAATAGACTCCCCTGCCCCCTGCTGCCCTCTCAGCAGTGGGTTTCAGTGGATCCACCTGCTGTGCTCCCCGGGGAGTCCTCTCAACCCCACACCTCTGGCCTGCACCCCAGTTCTCCTGTGCATCAATAAATTGTAAAAAAAAAAAAAAAAAGGTTCGGCTGCAGAGGCACAGCGGTGCAGGGAGCCTGAAGTTGCCCTGGGCAGCAGGCCGGAGAGGCAGGGCCCTGTGGGCTGACCAGGCAGTGGTCCCCCGCCCGGGTGGGGGTGGGGTGCAGAGAGAAGGCGGTGCTCAGACAGGCACAGCAGAGCAGAGGGTGCGGGGCCCACACGCGCGCGGGGGCGGGCAGGCCCC